TTTTGCCATGCCGGAGAAGCCTAGAGTACCTTTGAGAACAGTAGTGGACTGAATTCCAGAGGTTGGCTTCCCCAGGGTTTCGCCAAGCAGTCGCACCATAACGAGGCGATGCTGAGCAGACAAGAACATTGAAGTAAGGAACCAAATAAAATTATGGCTAGTCAGTAGATGTATCGATCGTCTACAAGCGCTCACTTGAAGAAAGTTACCTTTAATTTTTACTCCCGAGTCCGTCTCCTGCCGTCTATAGTCGCTTTGTCTTCAGCATGCGGGGCACGCTATAATACGCAATTCTAACCTGGACCGTTTCATGCGCTGAACGGAATTGCTTTCCCACAAATCCTCCTTGCATGCACATGCATGGGCATTAAATTAATACGTACTTGAGGGTTTCCTTTCTGAAAAAGGAATCATGAGGTATGTAGCCAGGGGATGAGGAATCGGCCGAAACACCCTTCAGAGATCATTTCATTGGCCCAAAATGTGCTGTTCGGTTTTATCGATCGCATTAAATTGTCATATTGTGCTGCACTCTTTCTCAGATTGGCTGATCGCATGACTTACAGTCTCAGAGCTCGGTTCTTGAAATTTGAACAGTTGATGCGCCGCCTTCAAATTTCAAATATCCGTTTCAGTTTGGGGAGGTTGCCTGGGAGTGGCACGCTTTGCTTGTCAAGGATAGAGGACAAAAATCGAGTCGTGCACCTGATCGGACACTATGTCTCATTTGGAAAGTAAAAATATTTTCTCCCATCTATCCTAAATGTCACATTAATCATGCACAGAGCTGAATGCGCCCGCAGCTCTCGTTGACTTTGTGGCTCCTGCTGCACAAAACCACCAGATGCTTACCCTCACAAAACGGCAATGAAGCGGACTCCAAACATCAGCTCTCTTTGAGATTTAGTAGTAATATTGGAGAGGAATTCGTTGGTACAAAAAAAGGGCCGAATCCATGGAGTGAAATGACTATTGCAGCAGCGGCCCCGGCATCTGCTAAGACACCCGAAGGCCGGGCCGTGGACAAAGCATTGAAGTTTATAACTTCAGAATCGGAGGCTGAGAGTTATTTATATCCCTTTAGCTCAGATGTCTTGCGCAAGGGGGATGGGGGTCTGAGGAGGGATGATGATGAGGAAGATGGGAAAATGGGCGCCTCCATGATCCTAGCATTAGCAAATGCTGTGAAAAAATTGGGTGGATTGGACATTGCTAAGGAAGTGTACCTTGGTATACTGAGCCGACAGCATCCCTTTCCATTTTGTGCCTGGCAAGTAAATTTCGACCCTCAACTGTTCACCCCCGTACTGCTAGACACAAATTCAATCTATTGGTTACAAGCGTTCCATTTTAAGACGCGTAATGACGTCTTTCGGATCACGGGACGCTTTCCCCTGGTTCGGTACTTTGGGTTTCAGGTAGGAAATCGACTTGGACAGGCACCAGCCCCAAAATATCGTCTCCCCGTATTGTTGCAAATCCTCACGCTTTCCATTTGTCCGAATCGCCTTCCCCCCCCTTGAAACAAGAGCTATGACTCGGCAGGCAAACCCCTCAGCAGCCTTCCAGACTTCCAAATCCAACCTCGGCCCGGAGATGGACCCAACCCGTTTGCCCATTGCTCGTCATCCTCAGCTGCTATCTCGACGACCTCTATTTTCAACAGCAGCAGCATTGAGAACACGGGTTACTTTGAAATTTACGTCACGGCTGATGGGAGGCGGGGTTTCCCAAACGAGCTGGCCGCATTAAAAGACCCATCTGCTCTCATTTCCACCACGACCATATTATATCGTCTGTACGGCGCAGAGCCCAAACTTAAGGAAAGTAAACAAGCAGGCAGGGAAAGGCTGGAAAAGGGCGAGGAGAGTGCGGCCAGGTGGAGACAGCGGTGGCGGCTGTGGGGCTTCGTAGAGCCCCCTGTGGTAGAACGGCGTGTCATGAGCACTACACTGGGCAAAGGGGAGGAAGAGGCCCAGCCGATGACCGCGAAGCAGCAAACCGGACCGGGAACAGTTTATGAGAACGCAATAGCCACAAAGTCGAGAACTCCTTTGCCAAAGCTCTCATCCCCTCCCATTTCCGCCCCTTGTCCTTCTCCGACTTGTTCCTCCGCGTATCCACCATCAAAGCAGCCAGACCCCTCCTCTTCTTCCTCTCTGATGCGCTGGGAGACTCTCCCTCCCTGCAGCCAGTGGGATCTGCTTCACATAGCTCAACAATTTATCGCCGCTGAGAAAAAATACCTCCTCCCTCTTCCCGCCCAAGACGATGTTTGTGGGCTGTACACGAAGGCAAGCAAAAACGGCAAGGGGATTGTCCCTCACATGTATCCGTACGGCCATTTGGAATCTCAAAGCGTGCACGACTACGTCGTCTATACCAACAAGGACTCCAATTACTTGTACTGGTGTGATGCCACCCACAGGCTGGGGAACGGCGGGCCCGAAAATTTTGTATTGGTACTGCAAGGAAAACTACCCCGGACGCCTGTAGGGCTGTTTGATTCCCCACGAATATCGGACTTCAATGCCTACGATGCCCGATACGTCTCGATCAGCACTGTCGAGAACATGGCCCCCAGCGACACGTACATGTCGGTGCAGGATGCGGAGCTCGAGCACTTTTTCCTGAACCGATCGAAGGTGGGGGCAAATGTCACGGACGTCTGGGACCGGGAATACACTATTGTGGCGGCTGTGAACGAATCCATCCTTCACGATTGTGCGGAAGGGACGCTGCCCGCTCCTCTTCGATTCCTCTCTGACCCGATCCGTTCCCCCAATGTAAGGAATGACTCGTACACGATGGTGCAGTTCCTACAGTCAAAACAGATAGAGCGACCGCCCACATCATCCGACACCATCCCTTATTATTTCCTCCCTTTTGCTCGGGATGGTCTAGCACCCCCTCGGCTCCCGGGACTGGTGTATCGTGAGATCCTGTCCCGATATCGCGTCACCGGCGAATCCGACGCCTCCGCAGCCTATTTACAGCATGTTTGCGGGCAGGATGGGAGCGATAAGTGGGGGGCACGGCCTCTAGATATTAAAGGGAAAGTGAAAGGGGTTCGGGACCCAGTACAAAAAAGCTGCCGCGAGGCCGACACTTTGGCGGAAGTCAGCGAAAAGGTCATGGGCGAGTACTACCCCCGAGTCCAAATCTATGCGTGCGTGGTACGAGAGTCAAAGGACTCAAACGAGGAGGAGGCAATCGTGGGAAAGGGTGGGTTGTTAGGGGAGACCCGCCGCGCGCAACGTGAGTGGAGACGGCTCAATTAAATAGTATAGAAGGAAATGTGAAGAGTAGCCAACTAAGTGTGACCAAAAAAAGCGTCCACTAATTTGTTCGTTTCTACAACGGCGCATGCGCCGTGATTACTTTGAAATTTGTGACTGATCCATGCACACATTACCAAGGAAGGGACTCGCATTCCAAACATGTTCTTTTTCCGTCACTCATCTCGCTAGCCGCTCCCAGCCCCCCCCAATGGCCTCCCAGGCTGCCACTCCAACCATCCTGAACTTCAGGATTCCCGTCCCACCAACCAAGCAACGTCTGAGCCGGCGGGAGAGGCAAAAGTCCGGGCGCCCACGCAGGAACGATGAGCCCAGGTCCCCAAAAGGTTCGCGGCCCGCCTGCCCTGGCTCTACGCCGTGGTCTCGCCCTTTCATGGCGCAGCGGTTGGACTGGGACCCAACTTAAACGCTCCTTGCCTTCCTCCCTCCCATAAGGCTCCCTCCGCCTTTCTCGAACATACTCAGGGGCACCACCTGAGTCGAGTCCTCCTTACTCGGGGCCAGAACCGTTTTACCCGGGCGCGCAAGCATGTGGCCATGGCTTCTATCCTGTCTGTCCCGATATCAATCGATGATCCCCTACACACCACACAATTCTGATTCGCTTCTGACCCAGCTCTATCATCTTCAATGCGTCACGCCGGCAGCAGGGGGAGGCGATCCGTCCGGGCGCCCTCCCTCCTTCCCATCTTCCCCCCCTCCCCGAAGCAGGCCTGGCACAAGCCTTGGGACAGACAGCGTGTGTACGCGTACAAGGACACGTGCACGAAAGGCACGACCAGGAAGACCACTGCCAGGACCAAGCCGGTGGCGGCGCCTGGATGGTCGTAGTCGAGGGGCTCGTAGATGTACGGGTCGCCCTCAGGATCGGTGCCCCCCTCCGCCCAGTACACCACGGAGAAGAGAAGGTAGAGGACCAGGTACAG